GTTTTTTAAGTTTTTGCGCAACTCATGTCACTGGATTTGCATAAGCTAAGCGTACATGTGTTATGCGTTACTGTTTGTTCTGTGTTTTGGGCAGATGAGATCATCGCTGCATCAAAATTCTTCCAAATATTGTATCCTAAACTAAAAATGCATAAAACAGGAAAATAGAAGCCATTCGTGGGAACAACTTTGAATGGAAAATATTGAAAATCTAAAACTCTTAAGTTTTCGTCCCGGTTTTGCTTGGTCCGAGTTGTAGGGCCTATTTGTCTAACATATTTGTCTCTCCATTTCTACATGCCTCCCTACCACCTATATAACAGTAACCCCTTCCGGTCGTACTGCTTTGTAGGGTTACGATTAGGACTGAATGAGATCAATGAAATCACCTAGGAAAGAAGTGAAAGCACTTGACCCCTTTTATTAAGGTGACCAGACGTCCCGCTTTGGGCGGGACACTCCGGATTTTTAAACAATTTGTCCCGCGTCCCGTGGCGTTTTTAAAAAGTCGGATTTTTGGAAAGAATGCACGACAAGCTAGGGTATATGGTTTTCGGCTGCCATGTGGCTATTTCACCAGGATATGAGTTTTATCAATGGTGTCCTGCTTTACCAATGTTAAAATCTGGTCACCTTACCTTTTACAAACCCAGCGCTCACTTCACCTTCAGCTGAACGATTTTATCCCCTTATAGTTGACAACATTGGAGGCACTTTACCATTTTACACTCCAGTAACTCAGATGTGCAGATTACGGATAAAGAACAACAAGCTAGATTCTTATTATCATGGTGCTCCCGCATTCTTCTAATCATTGTTTTAAGTGCACTTGGGATATTATATGTCAGATATTCATTTCTGAATACAGAAAAATAATGACATGTATTTGTACATTTTGAAACATTTTCACATGTTCTGGTGTGCCATCTTTACAAGAATGGAAGTCCTCAGCAGGTACTGTTCTCTGCACTCTACACCTGTGGAAGTGAAATGCTGATTAAGAGACTGGCCCACAGCTGTCCGTTGTTTCTCCGTTGTTTCTCAGAGTGAGTGAGGATGATCCAGGGGGGACTGCAAAAGCAAATGACCTACACTTTATCCTGGCTTATGAAAAACAAAAATGTTTTCATTTCAGGAGGATGATGAGTGATTTTTCTTTTCCTTTTTCTAAAAAGGGGTGGCATGTCAAATAAATTTGGGAACCTCTTCTTTAGGATCCTTTGTGGAGGTTCTAAAATTGACACTCAAGACTCCTGACTAAACTTACAGCTGAATATTTTTCAGTTGATTTTCAAACTTATTACGAGTATATCAGAATTACCTGGCAACTTGTTATAAAGAGCATTCATTTGTGACTGAGGTAATTGTGATGCAGGTGTCCTATGGACAACACCCCAGACATTCTATTGAACAGATGGAGAAACATTTGATTTCTTCTAAGGCATGCTGTTCACTTTCTCCCTCCCTCTCTGCTTCCTCAGCCCCACCCTCCTCTCCCATGAGCTTCAGGGCTCTGAGAGCTCAGACTCAAGCGAGACTTCTCACTTTACGAAAGTATGGAATGTCCAACTACCCAATGCTGGGGTCCCGGCCACTCAGAGGTCAAGGATGATCAGTGACCTAGAAACTGGAGCTTTACCACTGAGGGTTCTTAGCATCCTCTGGGAAGGACTCACTGTCCTGTGGTGCCTCCTAGGAGCCACTTGGTGACTGTTATAAGAACACTCATGAAGGTTGGGGTAAAGAGGGAAACTAAACAAGGGACAGGAAAACTCTGGAGGGGGTGGGGTGGAACGCCCTTGATTTTTTATCCCTTAAGACAAACTTATGTTGCAATTATAGTCAGGTCTTTTCCTACTAAGACGTAAGCTCCATGTGGGGATGGATACACTTGGTCACTGCTCCCTGACACAATGCTCCAAAATGATTTGTTGAATATGTACATGGAGTACTAACTGCTCTGTCAGGTAAGCGTTGAACTGCTAACATCAAGGTCAGAGGTTTAAACCCACCAGCTGCTCTGAGGCAGCAAGATGAGACTGCCCACTCCCGTAACAAGTTACAGCCTTATAAGCCCTCTCTGGAGGGTAGCAATGAGTCAGAACCAACTTGAAGGCAGTGGGTTTGGTCTGGGGTACTCTGGTAATAGATGCGGTTTCCTTTAAAATCCTTCTGTTCAAATAGACAGGTTGAAAATGTGCTAGATATTCTCAACCACAGTACTTTTAAAATGTTTCTGATACTGCTATGAACAATTGTGATGTGCATCCCCTCCCAAAGTGTGTGCCGTAGAGGAGACACCCTCTTGTAAGATTTTAAAGTTGAACTCAGGTGCTTTCTCCTCTCTTTGACCTTCTTAAATAGTAATACCACCCTTTTCCAAAGCCGGAGAGCCTCAGCTCTTTACCTCTTTTATTGAACCACTGACCTTGCTGTTATCAGTTCTAATGCTTAGCCCACAGTGCCACCAGGACTCCTTTAAAAATAAAATAAAATAAAACGGGCCCTCAAGTTAGACTAGCAAGGTATTGCCATTGAAGTTCTTGAAGGATCTGCTTTTAAGAAGCACAACAGTAAAAGCAAAATAAACAACTTTAATTAGCATTCTTTTTTTTTTTAGGCGGGAAGGACATTAGGTTTATTTATGACCACAGGTGGAGAATTCCAGGAGCTGGGCTGTGTCGGTTGGGCTATGGTAATTGGTTGCAGGAGCAACAGGGGTTCAAAAATGGAGTCCGAGGCAAAGGCTTCTGGGTAGGCTGTCATTGCTCATGATAGGATGGTGTGCATGTGCCAGGCAGCTGGTTCCTCAGGCTTGAGACCTCTGTTCTCTTGGATTCGACTCGAGGTTATGGGTGTCTGGTGAGCTCCAGCTCCCGTGGCTAGTCTACGCCCATCAAATGGGGGTCCGCTCTGGTCCATTGGCGGAGCACGTGACTATCTCTGCCACCAGGGGTCCCACTCTTTGTGAGTGCTTCCTAACAGCTGCATCTCTGTGTCCAGGGAAGCAGCTGTGAGCAGGTGGGGACGCTAGAGGGGTCAGGCACCCCTGCCACAGCTTTGCACACTGAAACCTGGTTTGTAATCCAAGTGAGTCTTTATCAAGGTTAGAAGTTTAAGGCTCGACACAGGCACTCTCCGGGGCACTTCACACCCACACCCATGGAACCTGCAGCCAGAGAAACCACAGCAGCTGGAAAAGCTATTGCATTCTAACTGAAATGTATTTGAACTAGCTTAAGCTAAAACCAGGAGATTTGCTATAGAGATAGTTCAGAAGAGCTCATAGGAGGATCCCAGTCGGGACTGCAGAAGGGCTTAGAACGAGCCTCGAATTTGGCCATCAATACATTCCCTGCCCTTCTTTTTTCCGTTCTTCTTGCTCTGCAGCCCCGCTCTAGTGGTAGTTCTCCTATGTCTGAATTCCAGTGACAGGTGGAGACTCACTGTCTGGATCTCATTCCAACTTCCTAGGCGAGAACGTGGATTGACTTAGGTGGGATCACCGGCAAACTTTTGATTCACTCAGCAGTAAGCTGCCCATATCCTTTAATAAATGTATATTACACCATCCCTATTAGAGCCCCTGGTGGCAGAGTAGTTTAGGGTTCAGCTACTAACCAAAAGGTCAGATAATTGACCCCACTAGCTGCTCCCCTGTAGAAATAAGCTAGCAATCCGCTGGCATAAAGCTGACAGCCCAGGAGACGTTATGGGACAGCTCTTCTCTGTCATACTCGGTTGCTAGGCGTTAGAATTGACTCAATGGCGCCCAACACATTAGCGTATTAGCAACTTGAGAGCAGATGTGGCTCATTAAATATTTTTGTGTACCCACAACACATGGTTCAGACCTTTATGTAGAAGTACTATTCAGGAAATATTCTTAAGTTAGTGAGTGAAAAAATGCCACTCAACTTTTTTAGTGCCCTTTCCTTTTTCCTTTTCAATTAAAAAAAATTAAAGAACAGACAGACATAAATAGCAAGAACAGAATGATTAGATCTAGAAGAGACCTAACTGCATGTCACAGAAAAGCTGAAAAGGAAGAGATCTAGTCTCTTTTTCCCCAACATGCCTTGAACTCTGAGGTTTTTAAAAATTAGATGATTGTCCTACTTCTGACACATGCAAAATCACGGGGTATTTCCCAGAAACGTCAAGACATCTTAGGCATTATCAGTTTACTTGAGTGATTCTTCACCCTTGCTCCATATTAAAACCACCGGGAGAACTCACAACTGGTCTTGTCTGAGCCCCACCCAGACCAATATCAGGATCCAAGTTGTAGGATTCAGGCATTATGTTTTAAGTTAAGCTTACCCACGGGATTTGGTGGGGAAACAGAATTGAGAACCACTAGCTTCACTAAAGAAACCTTTATTTAGCACCCGTGCATAGCATATCACCTCATTAAAAGGCGACAGCAACTCTGTGATGTATAGAGAAGCCAGGGCGAAGGAATCCCATTTTAAAGATAGTGCCATTGTGATTGCTGTGAAGTTGCCCATCTTATAAGTGGTGGACCTTAGAACAGAACCTAAATCTCCAGGGATTGCTAATCTAATCCCATTAAATCACACTGCCAAATACTAATGGGTTTCATTAAGAGCCAGTTAGCAGTGCCATTCCTTGCCATCCCTCACTTAGTTGTGCATTCCTTCCAATTCATCTCCATTCACCTCTCTCCATTTATCTTTGTTCCTGGGTGCAGGAACTAAACAAAAAGAGGACCCAGAAGGAGATGGAGCACGCCATGCTAATCCGGCACGACGAGTCCACCCGAGAGCTCGAGTACAGGCAGCTGCACACGTTACAGAAGCTTCGCATGGATCTGATCCGTCTGCAGCACCAGACTGAACTGGAAAACCAGTTGGAGTACAACAAGAGGCGAGAACGGGAACTGCACAGAAAGCATGTCATGGAACTCCGGCAACAGCCCAAAAACTTAAAGGTGAGAGAGCTGCAAGGGCCCCTCCTTCTGACCCAGAGCAGAGTGGGACTGCAGCTGCGATTGATGTGGTTCCTAAGCCTACTCCTTTTTTTTTTTAATGACAGCGTACACCTAGTTAGCCACCTTCCTAGGTACATCGAAGAATTTGCCTAGGAAGCCAGTCAAAGCATGGCCAACTTTGTTAGACACTAAATCTCAGTAAGATTCCACGATCTGTTTAAAGTTGTCATTCCCTTAGAACAATTCATTTTTTCATTAAAGCCACTTGGGAATCCAAATTTACTTCTATTCACTTAATATGAAACCGAAAGTCCTGGTAGCGTTAATTCCTCCATGGGTCCTATGTATTACTGTCATTATGAACAGCGCGGGTTACTGCACCAAAGGCGCAGATGATCCAGCACTGAACTGTATCATTAGATGAAAGACTTTTTATGTTCTGGAGTCTTTATTTATCTCTTTTTTTGTGTCGCTTTTTCTACACAGGCCATGGAAATGCAAATTAAAAAACAGTTTCAGGACACTTGCAAAGTACAGACCAAACAGTATAAAGCACTCAAGAATCACCAGTTGGAAGTTACTCCAAAGAATGAGCACAAAACAATCTTAAAGACACTGAAAGATGAGCAGACGAGAAAACTTGCCATTTTGGCAGAGCAGTATGAGCAGAGTATAAACGAAATGATGGCCTCTCAAGCGGTAAGTGGGTGGGTTCGGTGCCACGGCCTCAAGAGCTCTGGGAATCGAGGAAATTCAAGATCCAGCCTTTTGTTTCCAAGATGGTTCTTGCACAAATCTAGGATGTTGGTGCTTTTCTGCTCAAAGAACTGAGGAAATGACGCCGCCGACTAAAGCCAAGCCCGTGTGGATACTTGCTGGAGTGTCTTATGTCATGGAACTAGAGGAATAACATGTTAAATCGGACCTGTGGCACATAGGGACTTTAAGGGCAAGATGTGATCGATTTCACATATATGATATGTTCACTCATCAAAGGTTTGCTGGCCACCCCCCAAGTCATGTCAGGCACAAATGAGTAAGACACAGCCCCTGCCCATAATGGGGCTCAGTCAAGCGAGGAAGACAGACACATAGGCACATTCATTCAATAAACTTTTAATAAGCATCTATGTCCAGCACTCTGCTGGGCTCAGAGTTACAACAATGAGCTAGATAGGCAAAATCAGTTCCCCTACCATCTTAGCAATAATCCTGCAGCCTAAGTGCTTTGAATCGGGTGGTGCTGTGGGTCACGGGAGGACAAGCACAACTGATCTGATCCAGAGAAAGCTTCCCAGCTGGAGCTGAGACGCTTAGAGGAGTCCATGCAGGTAAATAGGTTCCGTGCAAAGGGACCGACGTAGGCAGTTTCACAAATGGAAAGTGTGTGTATGACAACTGAAAGAACTTTGGCATGAGCCAGAAATTCAAGGAGAGAATTGTGGGGACCCAAAATGGAGAGGTCATAAAGGTCTGGGTAAGCCAGGGATGGGAGCTTGCCTGGTGATTCAGTGAAGTTTCACAAAATGAATCCTCCGGAGGACATGCTCATGAGGCAGGCATGCGCGAAGATCGACAGGCCTGAAAGAACGTGACATGCTGGAGAAACGGGCTGTAGTTGCTACGGCAGTAGTATAGAGTGCTCTTTTAGAGGAAGAGGGTCGAGGTCAGATCCTCAAAGGCCATCTTAAGAAGCCGAGACCTAATTCTGTACGCAGGGGAGAACTACGGAAGCCTGTTTGACAAAGGACCAGATTTGTGCTGGGGAAAGATGTGGGCAGTCATGTGACCAATATAGGTTTAAAAGACCTCTTAGGAAGCTATTGTAGTAATCTAGGTTAAAAATGATGAATTCTTGAAGGAAGAAAGAACATTCTAATAGAGATAGTAAGGATTTGACATATTTAGAAGATAAGGTAGAGCCTGGTAAGCAGTTTAAGAGGTGGGTTTGACAGTAAGAGAATGGGTCAGGTCACCATTTAGCAAGATAGGAAAGTGAGTGAGTCTGGCTGTCTGGGTAGGTAGTTGTGGACATGTTTGAGCTACATGAGTGCAGTTAGGTTCAAAGATGCACATAGGAATCTCCAGGAGGGATGTAAAAACTAAAGACACAGAGTTCGCCATCACTGGTAGATGGGGCAGATGTAGTGTCAGGAATAGATCAGATCTACTCGGCGAGTGTATTATCAGGGAAGGGGACAAAGGACAGAGTCTGGTGAATACCAATACTGAAGGGCTGAGCAGAAGTAGACCAAAGAAGGCAAGTTACCGGAGACCTGGGAAGGGAACCAGAAGAGATCTCATCACAGAGCTTTCTGACTGATTGTTTCAAATGTTGCAGAGAGACCAACTAAAGTGTTCATTGGATCGCGCCATGGGTTTGATCACTGGAATGGTGGGAATGGCAGACAGGATAGGGCGTTGCAGGAATCATTACAAGATGAAATAGAAACGGTCAGTGAGACTACTCTCCCAGACCCTTCACTGCGAGGGGGAGGAGTGAGAATGGCAACTGGAGGAGGAGGCAGAGGGAAAGAGGACTTCTGCCCCATGCACTGAACATGTCTGTGGGCTGAGGGAAGGAACTAGTGCTCTTTCATCCAGCTCATGCTTATCGCGTGCCTGCACTTTGCCCGAGTGAGTGATCAGCCACGGGTCATGGCTTTGTGGAGTGTACAGAGCGGTGGAGGAAACCGACATTGGAAAGTCCGCTCAATGTCATGGCTGCCAACACTGTAAACCAGAATGCTGCCCTGGTCGGGAGAGTTTGAGAAAGGTCTCTGGCAAAGTGATGACTTAATAATACCTGTATGTGTAAAGATGGAAAGACCGTGAAGGACTCAGAGAACTCTATCGCATTTGAAGTGTAGAGAACTCGGAGGAGGGGAATATGAAAATGAGACTGGAGGTGTAAACAGGAGCTAGACCAGGGTTTCCCGCAACCCCTCCCTATGGGAGGGGCACTGGACTGATCCAGGGAACCTGCAAAAACAAATACCGACGCTTGACCCTGGATTATGGACTGTAAAGCAAACATGTGTAATTGCCATAGGGGCACTGAACAGTGTTTTGAAAAGTGGGTGGTAGACCAAAATAAGTGTGCAAACCCACGGGCTGGACCAGGGGTTGGCAAACTGGCTCTTGGGCCATAAGCGGCGCTTTGAGTACTTACATGTGGCTCTGAAGTAAGATTGCACCGTTTTAGAGGCTACTGTTCAGATAGTGGTGATTTCACTTGTTTGTAAAAATATATATTTATGACTCTCAAATAAGTTTTAAATTGTTGAGGGGCAAGATTTGCCAACCCCTGGGCTAGACCATTAGGGGCTTGCAGACTTTATTAAGGATTTTTATGTTTATCCTAAATGTAGTGAGAGGCCAATGCAAAGTATTAAGCAGGGGCCTGACATCAGAGTTGCATTTAGAACCAACATTCTGGTGACCGATGGAGAATGACCTGGAAGGTGGCAGCAGAAGATGGTTTGTGAAGTTGCTGCTTTGACCTGGGCCTGAGGGAGTGGTGCTAGACGAGGGAAGAGGCCATCAGGATCAAGAACGGAGCACAACTTTGAAACTTAGGCAGGAGGCAGAATTGAGACCAAACCCGATGTGGAGTGAAGTGTGAAGGCGGGGTTGGAATGTATACAGTCAGCATTTCAGTGAGGGCACAGGTGGAGCAGATTGGGCGAGTGGGAAGATATGGATGAGGGAATTGTGTTGACCTTGAGGCTCTCAGAAAGATCCAGGCAAAGGTATCTAGATACGCTAATTTGACCTCAGAAGTGGAGTCTGAGCTACAGATGCTGGTGAGGGAGTCATCTACACACAGACAGTCCCTGGAGCCTTTGGAATGGTTGTGATTCTTAGGAAGGGCCCAGGGTGGTACAACCTTGCGTAGCACCCACATTTACTGGCCAGGTGAGATAGGGAGGAGCTGGGAGAGGAAGAGGCCAAGCAGGACATCATCTCAGAAAGCAAGAGAAGGATTTCAAGAAGGAGGGGGCCGTCCAAGATGTCATATGCTACTGGGCAGTCCAGTCAGATAAGGGCCACTCCAGGATGTTCATCAGTGACCTTTGTGTGAGCAATATGCCTAGAGAGGTAGGGTCAGAATGCGCAATGAATGGCGGGGAGAGCAGAGGCAAGAGGACGGGAGAGAGAATTGATAGGGGCTCCTTTCATCTTGATCCTCTTTGTGCTCTCGTACCTGCAGCTATGCCAGGCATCTAGTGAGTGCTCTATGGCTGACTGTTCATGGTAAAGAATGGAATTAAGACTATGGGTCCGTGTTCCCCAGAAGAGAAGAAGTACATCCATGACAAAGACAACTACTGCTCACCATGTCGTCTTGCCAAGTCTTGTCTCCGTGTTACTTCATTTCTATGAAAGCTCTTGGAAGTTGTTACTGTTTTCAACCGAGTGTATCTATGAGGATTTGAGGTTTTCGTGATGTAAAGCCATGTGCTTGGGGCAGGTGTTGGCACACTTTTGCTGAGAAGGGTAGAGTAAATATTTTAGACTGTGGACTACATGGTCGCTGTCACAACTACATGGTTCAACTGTGACAGCATGACCACAGGCACAGACAGGATGTCAACAAATGCGTGTTCTGCCTGCCAGGACAACCCTTTCTACTGGAAGAGCAAAGCAGGCTGCAAGCCATATGTGGCCCATGGGGTGTAGCTTGCTACCCGTTGACTCAGGGAGTGGCCCACCTAATTAGTGGTGAAGTTGGAATCTGAGCCCCGCTGCCCACCTCCTTCCCTTTTTTGGAGTGAGAAATACCCTTCTTCTGAGATAGGAGGGCCCAAAGAGCGCATATGGGAAAGACAACGCTGCTTGCCCTGGGCCAGCCACTGCTTAAGTGTTGTCTCTGCGTTCTTTCCTTTTTATGAGAGCTCAGTTCAACTGTGATAACATGAACAAATGACAAGATATAAACAAAAGACGGCGGCTGGCCGCTTTCCAGGGAAACTTCATTTGCAAAAGCAGACTGCAGGCCAGAGTTGACCCATGATTTGGCCAGTATCACATGATACGGCTTCTCTCTCAGCCATTTCTTCAGTTTAAGCCACTTTAGAAAACATCTGCTTTTTATACTCTCTCAAAACTTGTTAATGTTTTGTTGTCTGCGCAGCTTTGGGTGATGAATATCAAATACGGGAATATTCTCTGATTTCTCACCTTAGGACAGTCCTAGAGTCGGAAGTTGGTGCCGACTCACCTAGTTATAGACATTAGTAATACAATGCCAGAAACAAAAGACAGTGGGGTTTGTTCCTTGGCCTGACCTTCCCAGAGGAGACTCCTGGCCAGGGCTCAGAGCAACTAATGCCAGAAAGTGAGGTCGGCAGAAGGGCCACCCGGATTCTGTGCGGATGGGGAGCAGCCATCGGTGGAGAGCCTATAAGCCCTTTGGCGTCTTCTCCCTGAAGCTGCTCCTGGGCCAGCCAGCGCCTAGCTGTCCATTGTGGCTGGTCTCTCTTCTCCCTGCAGTCTTCGGTGGGAAAATGAGGAGAGAGCTATTCTCTGTAGTGGGTTTTAATAAAAGCTGGTGAGGGTGAATTATTAGAAAGTACCTCTGAGAGATGATTACATAATTTATGTTCACTTGATCTCTCTAGTATACTTCTACCAAAGTGCTAAAGAAAACACTATGCAAATAACTTTCTAAAACTAATAATGTTTTCAAAGGTCATTTCCCAGGTGAGATATTGATGATTGTCACAAATTGTACAGAGGAAGGACCGAAGCTTTGGACAGAGAATAAGTATCTTGGCCAAGTGGCTTATATGGAGTTTATCCAGATATACTCTGGGTAGCCCAAACTGTCTAATTTAAGTGCTCTCATCTCATCTATCACAGCTGAACTGAGACCCTGTAGAATCTGAGCAAAACCAAGCCTGGATGAGACAGGGGGGGAGGGGGGGCATATTCATCCTTGAGCAGAGCCCTGCTAGTAAAACCTTTCCTGGCCCATTATCCTGGGAATATGGGCTTAGTTGGGAGGAAGGCTTTTCTGTCATTCCCCTATGATCTTTGCACCCTAAATGGTCCATAAATGCAGGGTTTGGTTGCTACAGAGAAAAGGGAGACTACCAGGCCACCTGGTCATCTGAACTTCCTTGCTTCAACCCAGATACATCCTATAGGGTTATCAAGACTACCCTTCATGGGGAAGAAAGTTTTGAACCACTAGAGTGATCTTGCGTTTGGCCAGCAGGCTAATGTGTATGACAAATAGAGGCCAAGATTACTGTCTAGAAGCATAACAGTGCTGTGGTATATTCTTCAAGTTATGTGGGGATGGGATTCATTTATTTACAGTTAAACCCAAGTACAAGAAGGCTTCCAAAAATTTGTGGGAAATGGAACGAAAAGGGAATGGCATTTTTCCCATGAACTTTTTGAAGCCCCCTCGCATCTGAGGGTCATAGAGTTGAAGATTATCTACATATTGAAACGGTGTCGTCAAAACCCAAGTAATAACAGCTCCTCTCCTGAACAGCAAGTGCACCACAACAGCTCTCCAAAGGACGTGGGAGGAACGCTTTGGTCTCATCCTCCAGCAATCTGAGCAAGTAGGAACTCTTGCGGGTATTTTCTCCCGGTGAGAAATGTGAGAGCCCGAGAGGAGAGACAGCTTGCCAAGGTGACAGCTGTCAGGGAACAGTGGAGTTAGACTTCGAGCTTGGGTGCCAGCCTCCAAAGCCCCTGGGTGCAGCCACCCTGTGCCTGCTGCTGTGCTTTCAGACCCTACTGAAAAGGGCGTGTGCTTAGAATTGGGAAGCCTGCTGGGCAGACTTTGCTGTCAACTTTGATTCCTAGCGCTGAGTGTACGTAGGGCATCTGAGGGGACCCGTGGCAATCCAAACCAGGAACCCTCTTCCAGGCATCACCTAGTGAGCTCTAAGCGTGAGGGGACTGACAGTATGTGTCTTCTGTGCCCCACAGTTACGGCTAGATGAGGCTCAAGAAGCAGAATGCCAGGCCTTGAGGCTACAGCTCCAGCAGGAAATGGAGCTGCTCAATGCCTACCAGAGCAAAATCAAGATGCAAACAGAGGCACAGCACGAGCGGGAGCTCCAGAAGCTAGAGCAGAGGGTGTCTCTGCGCAGAGCACATCTTGAGCAGAAGGTGAGTGTCACTGTGGGTCCTGGGCAGCTTGCGGGGAGGCTGGGTGAGCAGGCCTGCCTCTGGCCCAAGAGCTGTTGTCACGCTCCGCTGTCCCTGCGCGGTAGGCAGCAGCGCCACTCTGCAGACCAGGACACTTAGTATAAGGCTCGAAAGGGTGACGTTCACTTGCACAATCTATCTGAGGTCCCTTTCTACTGCTCCGCTAGGAAACCCTCAGCCGTGGCAGCCAGAAGAATGGCCAGGCCAACTGGGCAGTTGGTACAACACAAAAGGTCCCGTGAGCTGATGGCATTAGGTTCTTAGCTCCTGTGAGGTTCCTGGTTGCTAAATGGCACGAGGACACCAGGTGCAGATTCGGCTTTTCTTTCCGGCTCTTTCTAAATCAAGAGGTAGCACCGGCAGGGCTCTTTAAGAAAATTAAAATGAAGAGAGGCTGATATTGCCATGCATAATAAATGTTATCTGAATTGAAATATTCATTGCTTTAGATATTGCTGGGGAATATGCAGTAGAAAAGATTTCATAAAGCATCTCAGAACTGTTAAGCATTTATTTGCTTAACCAGTTATTTGCTCGTCCTTCCGGTAGTTCCCTGAGACCAGCGTAACAGAATATTTTCCCAGATCCTGCTCTAGAACTAAATTGCTAATGACCCAGGGGGCAGTCTGCTCTCTATGGGAAAGCAGCACAATCTAATTGTGCGTGAGTGGTGAGTGTCTTTTCGCTTCTCCTGAGCCATCTCCTGCTGAAACAGGACACTGACCTAGATCAGCCCAGCTGCTTGCCATGCTAGAATGGTATTGCTCGCCCCAGGTGGGCCCCAAACACTGTTATTCTTGTGAGCAGGTTTTCAAGGCAATAGATGAGAGCAGAGAGGTTCGTCACAGGGCTCCCCCAGCCTCTCTCGGCCTCCTTTGCTCTTGGTTTCCTGCGTCTGTGTTTCAAGCCTGGGTGTGTGTGTGTGTGTACACATCTGCATGTAGGTTCTGGTCAAGAGATGCTTTCTGCTAAGGGCTGTCCCCTGTGCTTATTGCAGATTGAAGAAGAGCTGGCTGCCCTTCAGAAGGAACGCAGCGAGAGAATAAAGTATCTATTGGAAAGGCAAGAGCGAGAGATTGAAACTTTTGACCTGGAGAGCCTCAGAATGGGATTTGGGAATTTGGTTACATTAGATTTTCCTAAGGAGGACTATAGATGAGATTAAATTTTTTGCCATTTACAAAAAAAAGAAAAAGAAAAGAAAAATGAAAAAAATTCCGACCCTGCGAACCACATTCCCCATTTTAACGGGCGTCGCTCTCTCTCTCTCTCTTTCTCTCTCTCTTTCTCTCTTTCTCGCTCTCTCTCTCTTACTCTTACTGACATCGTGTCGGACTAGTGCCTGTTTATTCTTACTCCATCAGGGGCCCCTTCCTCCCCCCGTGTCAACTTCCAGTGCTGGCCAGAACCTGGCCACTTCTACTCATAGTACACGTCACAGTACTGATGTGATTCAAAACGTTTCAGTGAAAGCTTTGGAGAGTTTTAGCAAAACCAATAAACCAACAACAACAAAGTGGATGTATGTTGCTTTAAGCAAGCATTCATTACGACCAATCTGAAAGTCAAGCAAAAAACAGAAAAAAAGAGTTAATAATAATAATAAACGCCAAGGGGGAGAGAGACACAATATCCGCAGCCTTACACCTTAACTAGCTGCTGCATTATTTTATTTTATTTTTTTGGTATTTATTCATCAGGAATTAAAAAAAAACAAAGTTTTATTAAAGATTGAAAATTTGATACATTTTACAGAAACTAATTGTGATGTACATATCAGTGGTGACATATTATTACTTTTTTGGGGCTGGGGTGGGTGGGTGGGGTGAAGAGATCTTGTGATTTTTAAGAACCTGCTGGCAAGAGTTTAGCTTGTCTTCAGCATATTCTGATTGTATCATAACCATTCTCTGCCGTTGCAGAGGATGTGAATACACTTAAGGAACTCACAGAATCCCAGTAGCACAAATTGGGCTTTGGCAAATCGTGTATTTTGTGTATAGAAGGAATTTAAGGAGAGGTATTACTTATTTTCATATTGTATTTTAACTGTTTCTCTGATCAAATTTTTTTACTTCCTCCTCCTGTTCCTCCCACCTCCCTCCTTTTCCAATTCAGTATTTGGAGTTCAACACTGTCTCTTCAATCAGATCACCCTGATCTTGTTTTTTTGTTTGTTTGTTTGTTTGTTTTTCTTTAGTTCCCTTCCCCTCCCTAAGTCCCATCTCTTGGTCATAAATATTGCATTATTCACACTTTCAAACTGTGTATTTTCTTACAATAAAAAATGATGAAAAAAAAAAGGCTTTACTTCTTTTGCATGCACTTTAAAAACAAAACAACAAACACCATTTTTCAGGTTCCAAGGAAGAGCATGATAACTGTCAGAGCTTTTAATTATATTTGTAAATAAAAGTGTTCATCACATCGCCTTGCTGTGTTATTGTCCAGGGAGTTTCCCTTCCAGGCTCCCCAGGTCACTGTTGAGAGGGACCCGCTCGCCATATCCTCGCTTGCTCCAAGAAGAGCCAGTCCAGGTCCAAGGTAAAGCTGTTCTCCAAGTTCTTCCGTCCAGGCCGGAGGTAGCGTCACACTGTTTGGGATGCTTAGCGGCACCTTTCTGCTGTTACAAACAGAAAAGGGCACGTGGGCCGGTGTGCACATCCGCACTGGCTGTGGGGGAGCAGGTCAGGTGTTGTGAAGTGACGCATCCTTAACGCAAAGCAGGGCACAGGGAAGGCCTTCTGCTCCCTTACAGAGTTACTGTCTCCGAAACCTACAGGGCAGCTTCTGCCCTGTCTGGAAGGGCTGCTCTGAGTTGGCATTGAGTTGTTCTATAGAGAAGGTACTAACTCTAAATATTTAAAATGAGCCCACAGTAACAGTGGGTCCCGACCCAGCCCACCGGATCATTTTAGGGAGGTAACAATGATGTAGTTAAAACACGTCAATTTATTGGGTATGGCTTTGGGTCTAGAGCACCTCAGTAAGAGCTCATGCCCTTAGGGATCTAGTTCTAAATATTGAGAATTTCTCTTTTGGAATGAAGACCTAGAAAATATTTTGGGGTCCTTCAGGGTGTTAAGTCTTCACAGACAAACGTGACCCCTCATGGGCACTGGGATGGACTAAAGAAGAAAGGAATGCTCAAAGAAAGACAGAATTTTTACCAACAAGGTGAACCCCATATTTAATAATGAATCACCCAGTTTCCTGGGCATTACAGTTCACTAAAGATTTTATCCTGGATACATTTGAAAACAATATTAGGAAGTGCTAGTGCAAAGACTCATATTTTGTGGAAGAAAAGCAATGTTTAGCATGCCATTAGGCACAAAGCATTGTATCGGTGAAATAAGTTCACACCAGTACAATTGTTGGCAATGGGGTCTGAATCGAGACCTGTCTGCTTTCAGAACCCACGCGCTTAAGTATTGGGCCACATGGCCTCCCAAAAGGACCCTAAGTCTTAAGGCAAGAAGTTTCCCTTACATCTATTTCACCTTTTTGCTCCGTGGGGGGAAAATGTCTTTGCGTAGAGGTCACCTGGCTGGCAGATTATGGGTGTTGATTTTTATAAAAGTGTGCGTGTTTGGACATGCCACAAGACACAACAGCCAGAAATAGGAATGTGGGTCTCTGCTCCTAGCACCTGGTCCAGGCTGAGCCTTCCTCCCGATACCTGCAGGAGGCAGCAGTGAGAATAGGTGGAAGGTACTGCAGTAGCAGCAGAGAGAGAGCTAGGGTCCTGTGTTGTCCCACTGCAGATCTGTCAAAATATTAGTAAGAACTTCTTACTTTTGATCTGGAGTTATTAATACTCTATTGAGTGCCTCACAGACTAGGCACTGTATTATATAGATTGAATTATGTCACCCAAAAATACGTATTGTAAATCCCTAAACCCCTGTCTCTGGGGACGCATTCCCATTTGGCAAAGGGGTTTTCTGTCTTCAGTGAATGAGGCCAGGTTAGTGTAGGGTGTGTCTTAAGTACTTTTGAGATACTGGGAAAAAATTGTTACAAAGCAAGTTAGCACAAATAAGAAAAAGATAGATGTTACGCGGAAATCTCTCAGGAATGCTGAGAAGAATGCTGAAGAGGCTGAGCCAAGGATTTTTCCACAGGGAAGACAGAGCCTTCCCCTAGAGCCAGTGCCCTGACTTCAGACTACCAGCCTCTAAAGTGGGGTGGGGGCGGGGGTGGGAACAGTTTACAGTTTGGGATTTCGTTACTGCAGCACCAAGAAGCAAAGAATTTGTTACTTGAAGAGAGTAATTCCTAACCTGTGAAAATGGTTTGGGGCCTGGGTAATGGGTAGAGGCTGAGGAAATTTCCATGCAGTGAGGCCCTCGTGTATCTTCAAGAGTCTGTTGGTAGGATTGTGGACACCAGGGCAAGTCTGATGAGGGGAGCTATGATGAACGTGTCTATCGTGAACAGAATGGGGCTGGAAATGTGAATGTGAAATGTACTGGGGGTGCTTTCAAAGGAAGCGACGACCAGCAAGTGAGTGCCATTGGAGGGGAGGGAATGCTCGGGGGGGTGGGGGGTGGGGGTGACGCAGAACGGGTCTGAACTAACGGGTGGGAGAACTTGTATTGTAAGCCATGGACTTGGCTATTTGGCAGAGAAAATGTCTTAAATAGGATCTAGAAGGGGCCGTGTCGTTTTGCCTTGCCACGTACAGTAAAATATGGGATCGGAGGGGGGGCGAGAGAGACTTAAAGATGAACTGTGCAAGATGAAACCAGAATTTAAAGATTTGGAAAATTCTTGTACAAACTAATGAGAGATGCTAAAAGGAAGTTCAGAAGGGCAAGAATCTGCATGTATTGAACACGAAGCATGTCTTGAACATCTACTGTGTAGTAGAGAATGCCCTGGATGTGAACGCTGCTCTGCTGGAGCTGATGATGCGAATCTCCATAAGAGAAGTAAATCGATGGACTGGTTAATCAACTATGCACTACGAGTGAGTGCCATTGGAATGTGTGCTACCAGAAGGTTAGAGTGACTGTTCTTTGGGATCTCAAATAGCTAATCGTGATAGGACCTTAATAAGTTTTCTTGAAAGACACAGATTATGGATAATTAGGAAGAAGTTTGAAGAAAATTGAAAATGATGTTGGCCGCTTGCAATTGCATTCCAAAAAGAAGGTTAGGAGAGTTGCCCCAAAGTATTCTTTTTCCAAGAATGGAGGAGAATGACATTGCTTCTAGAATACCTTCAACGCTTATCCATTCTATGTACAGTGCAGGGACTTTATCTTTCTAAAAATGGGAGCAGTATGTTGTTGTTGTTGTTGTTGTTGTTAGGTGCCTCTCTGCCTTGAAAATACCTGGCCCAGCATATCCTCTCAGACTCTACTATTTTGATTGGACTTTTTTAAAGATATCCTAATAAAACTAAGGCAAACTTATTTCTGAAAGTAGTTGTCTGTAGCTATCTACTGTCACAGAGACATTTAAATACATTGTGTTTGGAATAAATCTGCACATATGTGAACTGGACCTGGGTGGAGCTTTCGAAGTATGCATTTTATCTGCTAGGCAAGCATCTAGCAACTCTGAGTTAGTGCACTCAGTGGCATCACCTGGAGAGGTTCTTTCTGGTCACTGAATTTTTCTCGTGAAAGCACTTTTGCTCGAACCTCGTTTTTTGTGATGACCAATTTAAGAGAATGGCGTGTGGCTGTGAAATTTTGTTTTCTGCTTGGGGAAAAACGCCACAGAAACTATTGTGATGTTGAACACAGCTTACAAGGACTGTGCTATGGAAAAAACTCAAGTGTACGAGTGGTTTTCACATTTCAAAAAATGTGAAATGTCGATTGATGATAAACCTCGTTCTGTACATCCAGACAAAACTGTCGACTCTTAGTGCATTTGGAGTTCATTCCACCTGATCAGACTGTTAATCAAGCTTTCTATTTAGAGGTTCTGAAAAGATTGTGTAATAGTATGCAGCAAAAAAGGCCTGATTTGTGGCAGACAGGACTGGTTTTGCCACCTTGACAATACACCTGTTCATGCAGCCATCTCAGTGTTCCAGTTTGGGGCAAGAAACAGCAACTGAAATGTTCACTAGGTAGAATAATATGCCCTCTTTGAAAGCGCTGTCAGTTTCTTAACAAATTCAACATAGGTTGCACACATGATGCAACAGTCCCGCTCATGTGACCAGGAAGGGGCGAGCCAGCCAGGGTGCAGCACAGCCCCGAGGAAACACACAACCTCCCTCTGGTTCTTTAATGCTTCCCCACACACACACTGTCATGACCCCAGTTCCACCTTACAAACCCGGCTAGGCCAGAGCATGTACAGGAGTACAGATGAGATCTCAACACACAACATCCAGACCAGATGAACTCCTCAGGATCAATCATGAGAGTAACAATACCGAGAGGGTGGTGGGAAGGTGAGGGGAGAATGGGTTTTGAGAAAGAGGGAACCTATCACAATGATCGACATATAACACCACCCACTCTGGGGGGGGATAAACAACAGAAGCGTGGGTGAAGGGAGACAGTGGACGGTGTAAAATATGAAAATAATTTATAAATTATCAAGCGTTCACGAGGGTGGGAGGGTGGGGAAAAAAAGAGGAGCTGAACCAAGGGCTCAAGTAGGGAAAAAATGTTTTGGAAATGATATGGGATCATATGTACGAATGTGCTTGAAACAATTGCTGTGTGGGTTGTTATAAGAGCTGTAAGAGCCCCCATAAAATGATGTATTAAAAATTTTTAAGTCCCACTCATAAGCTTGTGCACTAGAGAAATGAAAACTCAAGTTCACG